AATTTCTGTAAGAACAGTTTACCAGAACTATAGAGTGGGGTATGGAAGGTCAATTTGGTCTTCTGAGTAGACAGAACTGAGAAGTGCATTTGTCTTAGGATAGTAGCTCCTTTTCCTTCAGAATCTTCATTTGCATATCAAAGGGGACATCAAAGGTTGGTGGCTCCTCTGTAGAATGCCTTTGCTTATTAAGAACAACCAACAATAAAAATTTAAAAAAAATTTTTTTAAAATAAATAAAAGGGGCTAGGGGTATGGGCTCAGTGGTTGAGTACTCCTGGGTTCAATCTCTGTTACAAAAAAAAAAAAAAAATGAAAAAAACCTCATTAAGTGTATACTTATACTGCAATCATTTTAATATATTATTGTATATAAATTATTACTCAATGAAAAACAAGGCAAAAATTTAGTAAACCAAACCAAACCAAGATATTAAAGAGCACGTTAAACACACACACAAAAAAAAGATTTAGAGAAGGCCCTTCTGGGTTCAAGAGAGTGTGTTAAAGAGGGAACCCAGAGATACTTAACGTTCTTCTGTTGTTTTTGCTAAACTTGTAATCTTTTATAATGTGAGCTGTGTGTCTCTTTTATATTTTGTTCCACTGAGAAATCTTGTGTGTTTCAAAGGAAAGCAGTATTTAAAAATTCCTGATCTAAAAGCCCTGAGTTCAAATTCTTTTCAGAGTATGTGAGTCTTTATCAATATCCTTCATTATCTTGAAAGAGCAAAGCGAAATTAATTAGTTACGATTGATGTTCTAGAATGAATTCCATATATAGCTATTTATTATTTATTGGTATAATTTTGTACCCCAGTCTAGTACTGAAAGGTAAGGATAACACAGAATAAGAAAAGAGTTTGAGAGGAGGCAAGATAAAAATTTTTAAACTGTTCAAGTCACTAAGCATTTATTGATCTTTGATCATCTTGCTATGTGTGTGAAAAACATATTTAAATCACACTTGTTAAAACATGTTTATAAAGACCTAATTGCCTATAGCAATAGATACAGGGGTCACTGTTGTAGAATTTTGCTACAAAAAGAGAGTTGGGGCTGAACCCTGATATATAGCATGGACAAGTGGAAATTTATAGCCAAGGAGCAGGATGAAGAGGTCAGTGGATGGCAGATTACTAAAAGAAATTCCCTTATCATGTGTAAGGAGGGATTCTGGCTAATCTGACCTAATAGGATTCTTATAAAGACAAGGGTGATCAGACATCACCCCTGGGGATGGTGGAGAGTGAAGGATATGATCAGACATGTAGGGTAGTCAGATATCGAGGGTGGATGGTTTTTTTTTTTGTTTATTTGTTTTCATTTGGTTTGCTAAAGGAATTCAGCAGGGTTCTTGTTGAAATGAGATTTTATAAGAAAATGCACAGATGGTCTTAGCTTAAGAAGGTTCAGGAGCCTGAATAAAGTGTGATCAAACAAAGAATTTTTTGTCATATGTATAGAATATTTATTGGCATGATAATTATTGTTAATAAAGGACAGCAACTTACAATAATATATATTAATTTATCTAGGCAGACACAATGGCACACACCTGTAATCCCAGCTACTGTGGAAACAAAGGATCCCAAGTTCAAGGTCATCCTGGGCAATTTAGTGAGACCCTGTCTCACTACAGAAAATAAAAAAGAGCTGGAAGGGTAGCTCAGTGGTAGGGTGCCCCTAGATGCAGTCCTCAATACCACAAATGAAAAAAATAATTTTCCCCAAGCATTCATTGATTGAGCTGACAGGATTATGGGTGGATGATTTAGGGTGGCAGTTGCTCTGATATCTGCTAAGATCTTCAGTAGGCATTGAAGACTGAGTAACTATGGAGAATGAACTTAGGAAGCAGTCACATTTTGGCTCTGACTATTTGCACATAATCAATTGGGGAAGTGGTTATTAGTAATCAGAAAATGTGCCGTGTGTAGAAGCATATTAAAGAATTACTTTGAATAATCTTAGTCTTTGTTTTTACTTGACAAAAATCAGTTTAAAGTGCATAGTTTGACGATACCAATAATCTATACTAAATTATTTTTATATGCAACTGCATATACTGAAAGTGGAGATCAACTAATCCTTGATTTCCTTCTGATCCTTTGACAATCCCTTTTCTTGAAATTTGGCAGGTGTCTGTTTATCTCCATTCATTTATAATGTCGTCAGTTGGTGAGAACATCCAATGATCACAATCTTTTTGACCTGAAATGGACCCTGAAACCATTTGCCCCCATTTTCATTGATAAAGGAAGAAAATAAAACTTCTGTAGATTTGTTCCAAATCATGCATCAAACTGGATGGAAACAAAAGGAATAGAACCCTGGACCTCGGTTCTCTTTCTAGTAGTTTCCCCAGTGGTTTGGTGTTTGGGTTGACATGCTCTCTGGCTTTTTAAGGAAAACTGAAGAGAATTTGAATGAAATAAGCAAGCATTAATGATAACATGTTTTATCTTACAGTTGAAATGTGTAGCTGATAAAATTAGATATAATATTTAATTATCATGTAGCAAGTACTCTACCACTGAGCTACATCCCCAGCCCATGTTATTACATTTGAACCACTTAGTGTCTGGCACATATTAATTGTTAGCTTTTTTATTATTGCTAATAATAATATTGTTACTATTCATTATTATTCATTTCTACCTCACAGGCCATAATATTGGGCCTATGGGGAACAATTCCTCTGTTCAATTTTGTCATGGGAGTGGAAAGGAGTAAAGAATACAGAGAATTGAGCCCATGGCATGCACCCTGTTGAGATCAGGAATCTTATCCCCTGACCTAGTATTTATCAAAAAAGGATGCCATATCATTTTCACTTATTTTCTCATTTCCTATTGATTGAACAGCTAGAAATAGAAATCTTGAAAAGAAGTCTTATTTTTTGATCCCTGATCTCTGTAGCACTTTGGACTTTCATTGATTGCTTTGGAATGTTAAATTTTAAGAATAAATCATTTGGTGACTTCAGCTTGACTTCTTAAGGAAGTGGGATTTCTCCAAGAATTTCTAAACGAGAGGACACAGATAAGAATAACATACTGAAGTAACCATCATAGCAAGCTTTCAGTGAAATAATATATGGGGAATTCATCTAAATTTAACATTGAAAAAATCCTAAACTCTGTGGTTTGTTGTTCTATAGAAAGGAAAACCACTTCTCATTTTTCCACTATGTTAAAAATAAACAAGCAACAAAAGGAACTTGAGAAATAACACTTCCAAAAGCAGACCACTGCAGGAAGTACTTTTTTTTCATTCCCAAATATTGTGACTCCTGACCTCCCCAGCACTTCTTCAGCCATCTGTCATTCATTCCCTTTGCCTTCCTGCTGCCATTTATCTTACCCCCTGTAAAGCAATAGCAAAAAATTTCAGTGTTGGTTGACTTGGACTGGAAATGATAATCACAGTAGTGGCAAAGCTGAGGGAAGGATGCTTAGCAGTACTTTCTCATTTTAGGATTGGAGACTCTGGAGATATTGAGTATCCAAGTCAAGGACTTTGCTTAGAAAAACGCACAGATGCAAACATATGCAAAACCTCATGCACAATGTGAGGACACCCTTTGGCACATTTGAGGTAGCTGCTGATGGTACCTGGCCTTCCTCCTTGCAGAGCACTGTGTTGGTATCTCAGGAAGAAGAAAGGGATTTAAATACAGTACTTGAGGATGGATCCAATGCAAAGTTTGTTAGTAGTTGACACTATTCTGAGTTTTGGGCAATTCACTTTCTGCATTCATTAACTACTTGATAAGTCAGATCTGAGCATATGTTACTTCCAAAATTCTTTATGAACCAGGAAGAGGAAAAGGAAATGCAAAGGAAGAGACTTGCCTTTAAGTAAGGCTGTCATTGTCCTACAGTTTCAAAACGTTTATTACACAGCTAAGGATGCACATATATTTTGTAAGCAATCCTCAAGGTGGACATTTCTTCGTGAGATACTAACCCACTTGAGTCTTACAAAATGATTTCTCTCCTTAAAGAATATCCTCCTTATATGAAGAGAACTCATTCAAATGCAAATTTTAAGCTATGCTGGAGAGAAATCCTTTGAGGAAAAATCAAACTAAAAGAAGTAGAAGGAAAAAAAAATGAAAATAAGTAGGGGGAATAAGGATGAAATGGGAAATGTGTGTTGGATTATGTGATTTGATTCAGCTTCTTTTCTCTACTCTGTGCTTTAATATGTAGAAATTTGCATGTGGGTGGACAAGACTTGCTGTGTGTTTTCAGCTGGGGCTTTTGATAGCTCTTCTTGCTTCCCTTTCATTGTTTTTATTAAAGCTGTCTGATCACATATCTTGCATGTACATGCCCACAGCTCCCACTTTGTAAGATTCAATGGGCTGTGGCAGATGCAGGGTCTACACAAGTTCCTGCCCCTTCAGAAGTTGACATGCTTGTAAACTTGTTTAATTCCAAGGACCATAAGATGGTGAGAAAATTGTTCTTCATATATGGGTGACTCTGATCCCACCACTGATGCTCACTAACTTTGAAACCTTACAAAAACTTCTTAACTTCATGTAACCTTAGCACTATCTTTAGAGGGAAGACATTGGTGAGGTATTTTGCACTAAGTAGGTAAATGAACTCTTGTTTAAAATCATCCCTATGACTGTGTAAGCACATAGTTGTCAGAATGACTGGATTCTTTGAGGTTAGATGGGATAGTAGTATTAGTAATTACAGTGCTCTGTTCCCTTCCATATTGTCTCATTGACAACTTTCCTGTGAGGCAGGTGTTATCATCCTCCTAAGTGAGAAGAAGCACTGTGCAGGAAAGGGAAGAAACTTTCCCAGTCTCCTGGGTTGAAAGCAGCAAAGGTGTAACCCAAGTGTGCTGGCTCACAGGCCACTCTCAGCTTGGGGCCTTCACAGCCTTTCTCAGAGCTACAGCATATTCATTGAAACGGGAATATGGTGCAGGAGACTCTTACACTTACTTAAGATTTATTTTCTTTCCTGTTTCAGGTATCTGACAACAAGCAGCAATAGAAATTTCCTGCTTACCATGAGACCATTTTTAAAAAGGGCTGTTTTGGTCATAAGTTACGTAAGTATATATGTAATCAAGAATGTTTTCATTTTAATTCAGGCCAGAGACACAATCCAGATTATTTAATAGAATCAATAGTAGATCCCAGCCATGCCATCTTGGTATCAGTTTACATACCTTAAACATTGCAGAGCACTGGAAGGTGTATGTTCTATTTTAGGTATATGTGAAACACACAGTGTTTTACAAGTCCCTTTCAAGGTGCTAATGTTGATTTGTCTCTAGAGGTGGTGTCAGAAACCTGGCTCTATCAGTTATCTATTGTTGCATAACAAATGGCCTCAAAATTGAGTGGCTGGGGTTATGGCTCAGTGATAGAGTGCTTGCCTGGCATATGCGAGGCACTGGTTCCATTCCCAGCAACACATATAATTAAAAAATAAAGGTCCATCAACAACTAAAAATATATTTTTTAAAAAATTGTGTGGCCTAAATATCACAACCATATTATCTGCCCGAAATGCTTTAGTTTGGGCAGCATTTAGGTGGATGATTCTTTTGATCATCATAATTTTTGGTTAATTTCTAAGGCAAGTTGACTCAGCTATCATAAGGGCTAGGTCACCTCCATCCTCTTCCAAATCGCTTCTCTCCATAATATCTCATCTTCTGGAGTCTTGCCCAGAAGGATAGTTAGAACTTCCTTACCACTTGGCAGCTGGGTTCTGAAAGAACCAACCCAAAGTTGCAAGACCTCTCCAGGGAAGGTTAGACCTAGAATGGACACAGTGTGTCTTCTACCACATTTTATTGATAAGTACAAGTCATGAAACCAAGCTAGATTTAAGGCAAAGGGGTGGCTGACTCCATTTCTTGACAGGAGAGACAGAACACACATATAAAGAGGGAGATTATTGGTGGCTCTCTTACCAAATCTTCTTGTTCTCTTAAGGTGATTGTCATTTTGTACTTCCGTCTGTGGATAATGGGAGGATCCATGCCCCTCTTTTCAGAGCAGGATAATCCAGCTTCATTTTCGCCTTATATTCTTACAAGGTTAGTAAAAATAATTTTTTCAAACTTTATTTGGTATGTACTAGGTAGTTTTAAATTATAGTTGGGCTTTGCATGTAATGAAAGAAAGATTTTCTATCCAGCATGAGGATAGAAAGGAAATTACTATTCATACATTTGGAATTCTTTTCAATAAATGTGGTTGTTTTGGTTTATTATTTTGTTATTGCTGTTGTTCACTTTGGTATATATTTGTTTATTCAACAAATATGTTACTGGATTATCGATAATACATATCTATCAAGTGTCTCATTTGACAAATTACAATATTATCGATAATACATATCTATCAAGTGTCTCATTTGACAAAAATGTTACAGAACCAACCACAGGGAGGTGCACAGAGGTTTTTGGACACTATAACCTTTGGTAAGACTAAAATTGGACAGGAGGTCTTAAGTGACAAACATAAATGAACACCAATTTTTGCTAAGATATAGATTGTTATATTTTATCATTTGTCCTTAAAAGTTCTAGAGATAGTCAAGAAGTGATCAGTGTTTCTGCTTTATTGAGAAGGTGTTTTAATTCCTCATCTATTCATCTGTTTTGATATACTGCTGAGGCTTTTGGATATAATTTAACTATTTTAATTACTCTTCTTCAGAATATGTTGTTGCCATAATATTTTCAACATTAAGATGCACTGTTCTTAAATGTTCATCGCTGTATATACCTTTATTATCTAATACTATTTTATGATAGTAGCCCTCATTTTTTATGTTTGTAAGACATGAAAAATCTCAAATTAAACCTTGATCTAAAATCCATTTATATTTTGGCTTATTTGTATCCTTCAGAGACGATAGATTTTTGTCTTTTCTTTTCATGCCAGTCAGCAATCTCTCTTTTATATTATTTATTTACCTTATATATTTTAATTGATAAATTTCTATGACTTTGTATGCCTTGCATGTTTTCTTTATGGTTTTTAATATTTTTTATTTTTATATTTATTTATATGTTTATGTTTTTATTTGTTTATTTATTTTGTGGTACTAGGATTGAACCCAGGGACACTTAACCACTGAGCTACAATCCCAGCCCTTTTTCATTCTTTTTTTTGAGACAAGGTCTCACTACATTGTCCAGGCTGGCCTTGAACTTGAGGTTCCCCAGCCTTCTGAATAGCTGGGATTATAGATGTGCACCATGGTACCTAAATTATTTATTTATATTTTAGTTAAATTTTTGCATTTTGTGCTAAGCAGGGAACCTAGGGCTTTGTGCATGCTAGACAGCACTCCAGGGTAGCTACACCCCCCAGCTTCTCTTCCCTTCATTTAGATTCTGTTTTCCATTCAAAAAGGAAATCTGCTGATTTGATTAACATATTTTTGTAATAAATATTATATCATAATTGTTCTCATTATTTCAGCATATATTTGTATTAATTAAATCTTGAGTAGGCATCCAGAAATCATTTAATATACTCTAGTATCGGCTTACCTATTAGGCAGTCTAAGATTTTTCTAAATTTTTGTTAGTGTGTTAGGTTTTTCAAAATGTTGAAATCTTCTCTACATTTGACATCTCCAATTCAGCTTTTTGTTAATGTTGCAATCTACTTTTTTTTTTTTAAAGATTGCTTTACTGGCTTTCAAAATCTCTAGGGCCCCTTGTCCCAATTCATTTATAAATTACTTCAGTTCTGTAGCTCCTTAAATAGTTACTTTCTGCCTTTAAGATAAAAATGAATGTTGCCAGATCCTGTTCACACAGTGGCCCCATTTCCTTTAGCTTTGGAATGGTTTCCCTCCAAACATTCCTGTCTCCTGAATTTGAGCATTTGTTCTTTTTGGTTAGATGATCCCAGTATCTAAAAACCAAAATGCATAGTTAAAAGAGGCAGAAGGAGAGGGACAAGAACATGCTGCTATCAACTGGCCAACCAATTATTTCCTTCATATCTTGCACCATCAGTAAAGTAGTCCCAGGTTCTTGGTATCAGTGCACCTTGACTTGATCTGTGACTCACTGCCCTCCTACTGCACCTTCTCAGCCATCCAGAGAGTTAAGTTATATTTTTCTTTTGGTTGATGACCTAAAAGAAAAGGAAGGAAGGACAAATTAGGATTTTTTTTTCACTTCCAAGGCACGTGTTCATTTTCAGAGTTGCCCAACTCACATTTCAGCCAGAACTATCTATGAATCCATCCATCCTTGTGATGATGTGCAGGAAATTCAGTCAATAGAAAGTGATCAAATATTTTAGTCACTATAACCTTTATAACCTCCTTTCCTTTAAGAGATGTGTCTTTCTGTTCTTGTAGCTACTTTGGGGACATTTCAGTGACAGTTGTTGTGAATGGGTTTTCACATTCCTGTTGGATGCCTGCATTAGAATAGACTTTTATTCAGGGAGGGAGGGGGTCTTAATCCCTTTACTGAGAAGGGTCTCTTCTCTTTTTGCAGACTTTGCCTCTGGCAGGCTGATGATTCTCACATTGGGTTATCTTGGTCTGTTTTCATTGTTCTGCTGAGTTTTCTCTCCTGATCTGTGCAACTTAGCTGTGATGAGGCTGACTGATTCAAAGTTTGTCATTTGGCTGTGTTGGTCTGCTTCATTGAACATTTTCTTTTGCATTCATCTGCTAGGGCTGCCACAACAAAATACCACAAATTGTATGGCTTAAACAACAGAAATTGATTCCCTCCCAGTTCCAGAGGCTGGAAGTCCAAGATAAAGGTGCTGTCAACATTGGCATGTGGCAACCAGTAGATTACCCCTTTTTCTCTATGTCCTCACCTGGCCTTCCTCCCATGTCCTTTTTTTAGAAAATCATTTTTTAATTTTTAATTTTCAAAAATTTGTTCTTTTTAGATTATCCTGTGTCCTTGAAGAGAGATTTCTGATGTCTCTTTTCTTATAAGGAAACCAAGAAGATTTACATGCACTAGGGCCCCACCCTTAAGACTTCCCTTAACCTGTATTACCTCCCTACAGGCACATCTTCAAATAGTGTCAGTATAGAGCAGGGATTTTTGACAGTCAGAATTCAGTCCATAACTACTTCCTTTACTGGATTTACAAAGTTTGTACAACTTCCAATAGCATCTTTGCTTCCTTCTTGCAAGTATTATTTCTTCTTTTAATGGCAAATATAGTAAATTACTGTCTCACCATTTATTAGTTGCTATGGTTACTAGTTGCATGTACTTAAAATCCTAGTATCTTTTAAGAGTAGCTTGATCAAGTTTTTCTTTGTTTCATGATTTCTTGTAGCTTTAATTCCAAAATGCCCTCGCTTTTAGATTATCCTATTTCCAGGTGTTTAGCTCATAGGAAATATTGCCCTTGTCATTTTCTGCTTAACTAAACTGAGATGAAAAATTACTGTGGTATTCTTGTGGGAAAGATTTTTAAGAAAAATTAAGCCATGGGAATAAGACAAAAGAAGCCTACGTGACCTTCACTGTAATGTGAGCATTGGCTTGTTATGACTTTATCATTACTATTTTCTATATTATACAATTCTATCATCTTAGAATTTAACATATGGAAACCTGATAGTTGTGATGATTTTTCTCTAGTAGGAAAAATGAAACTTCAAATAACGGATTAATTATGGAGAATTAATAATCCTTCAAAACTTTGAAAATTACTTTCTTGATAGTAAAATATGACTCCAGGAAAAAAAAAGAAAGAAAAATAAAACTTCAAATGTTACAGTTTTATTACCTTGCAAGATATTGACTGCATGTGTATTTGGTTTGCTAATCTTACTGCTTTTCATTTTTTCACCATGAAAATTAATTTTAAAATTTCAATTCATATATACATATCTGTATGTTTATTTTTTATACATATTAATTTAATTTTTAAGTAACAGATTTACTGTGATATAAATTGCATACCATACATTATTAACCAGGACCGTGATGCAATAGTGATTTTTAGTAGAATTAAGGAGCTGTGCAACATCACCATTATCTATTTAAAACTTTTTAATCTCCTCCAAATAAAACACACTAGCAGGCACTCTGTATTTTACCCTAGTTTCCCAGCCCTAGGCAGCCTCGGCTCTAAGTTCTGTCTTTCTAGATTTACTGATTCTGTGTATGTCATCTAAGTAGAATCACATAATATGTCATCCTTTGTGATTAGCTCCATGTTTTCAGACTTCATCTGTATTGCAGCAGGTATCAATATTTTATTCCTTTTACTTCCTGGTTGTATTCCATTGTGTGTATATATCATAATACAATTTATTTTCCCACAAAAATGGACATTTTAGGTTTGTTTCCCCTTTGGGCTATCTTAGATACTGCTGCTGTGAACTTCTGTGTACAAGGTTTTGGGGTACATGTTTTCTTGTTAGTCTGTATTAGGAGTGGGACTGCCAGATCAGAGATGTGAACTCTTATATTTAACTGAGAAACTGCCAGAATGTTTGCCAAGGCAGCTGTCGCAGCAGCACAGGAGGCTTCCACTTACTCTGCATTCTTGCCAACACTTGTCTTTTTGATGGTCTTTCTGTTTTTCTTATGGCCATACCAGTCAGTGTAAAGTGCTGCCTTATTGCAGTTGCAGTTTTGATTTATATTTTCCTGATGGATCTTGATGGTGAACATCTTTTTTTGTGTATGTTGGCCATTTCCCTGCTTCCTTAGAGAAATGTTTTCAGATTTTTTTATCTACATTTTGATTGGATTATTTATCTTTTAATTATTGAGGTGTAACCATTTTTTTGATATATTCTAGATGTAAGTCCCTTATCAGATTTGTGATTTATAAACATTTTCTCCTATGTGTTGTTGTTACACTTCCTTGATGATATCCTTTGAAGAACAAAATTACTTTAATTTTGACAGAGTTCAATTTATTTATTTACTGTTATTATTATTGTTGCTTGTGCTTTTGGTGTTGTATCTAAGACTTTGCCTATCTGAAAGTGCATTTTGAACTGTCTTTGTCAAGTGTCTGCCTCCCTTATTAATGAGTGATATAAACTTTTATTTTCCACTGTGTATTTGTATGA